CGACAGGTCACGTACCTGCTATTCATCCCATAAGCGTGGTATGCCTCAACCGTAGGATTACGTGGTATTTTATAAAGGACCCGCCTCGCGGTCCGGCCAATTGAGGCAAGACCCCCGGTCTCAGAGACATGACCTAGGGTTACGGTGTAGTAGGCTAAGGTCTGCCGGGGTTGCCTGAGTCCCCTGTACCAGAGTGCCCAAGCACCCTGGCCCCTCGCAATTGTGTCAGGCTATACTTGTCAGGCTATCCTGACAAGTACGGGTTTGCAATCAGGGTTTTCCTTCCATTAGAACGGTTGCCTTCACCCGGCTCACGAGCCCGTTTTGCCCGCGCTGTAAGGTCCTTTTGGGCTCCACGAATGAGACCCTCCAAACCCTGTTAAAACCTGGAGGCATTGCCCATCCAGGAGTATTATGGACGCTCTTAGTCTGGCCCCACTGTACAGACAACTCCGGCATGGTAGAACCTGCCAGGGACCGAAACCCCCGCCGGCACAGCTCTGTACATCATAGGGACGCACAAGCTCCCCCACCACGACAAGGTGGCGTCCACGGGGGAGAAAAAGTGTGTGGGGATCCCACCGGGACCCCTCCAAACCCCCCTTCCTCGGTGAGGAACTGAGAGGGAAACTATCGCATCCGCCCCCGGGGGGCGGATCTTCCCCCCCCAGGGCTCCCTCCTCCGTAACAGAAACGGATTCGGAGGTCGCACCCTGGGAGGAGGCTATCCCTCTTGGCGCGGTCGGGGGTGCTCCCACAAGGGGTCGGCCCACCCCCGACCGCTCCTACTTGGCCCATGAGTCCCGGCGGGGGGGGCCGCCCATGGCCGCTACCTCACCGGCAGATCCCATGGGCCTGGGATGGGGGAGTGTGCGGGGAGAACTACACCATACTCTCTACACCGCCCACTCCTCCCATCCCTCCTTCGCCAGGAGGGATGCAGAGAACTTAACCTCCGTTGAGTCCGCCTCGGAGACCTCCCTCGGCCTAACCGCCGAGGGAGGGCCCGGCGCAACAGGAGCGGCCGACGCTCCTCCCGCCCCAGGCCCTACCAGATCAGTGGGTGGCGGAGGCTGAATACCTTCAGCTTCCGTCACCACCGTCCCTACCTTGCCGACCGTGTCAGCAACCGCGACCGAGGTCCGTGTTATATTCTTGGCGGTGGCATCGCCGGGAGGCCGCGGCTGAACATCAGCCGCAGCCCCCCCCGCGTGTCGCCTTTTTTCTTCTCCGTTTGCTCTTGCTGGTAGGAGCTCCTCTTTTCGAGGCAGCCCGAGGGACTGTCTTGCAAGCCGGACCACCCATTCGGTGGTCCGCTTTTTTCCCCTCATATTGGCAAAGGGGGCACCGAACTACCTCAGTGAACCCCTTTGCCACGTGACCGGCCCGTCCACATCTGAAGCAGCGACCTGCCAAACCGTTATCGGTCTGGCAGGTCACTGCCATATGCACATACCGAAGGCATTTAAAGCACTGGATGGGCCGGTCTTCCAGTACCCTGATGCTTGCCCTCGCCCACCCCACGACGAGCCCTCCGGCTGCCAACTGCTTCTGGGCCGGTGCCAGCGGGCACTGAACCCAGGCTGCCCCTAACCCTCCAGACGATCTCCTAATCTCCCTGATCTGGAGATCGTCCGGAGGGCATCCCGAGTATTTAAGTAATGGCAGCCCTCAGCAGGATTGGGGTGACGGAGTCCTCCAGGCCGACGATGCGGAGTTCCGCCTTTCTCGTCGGCCTGGAGACCACCGCCGCCCCATGCAGCACGTCCTGCAGATCCCTGGCCAGGCGGTCGGCTTTGTCCCGACCGCCCTGGCCAGGGCGGCCTCCAACAATATCCCCCCCCCCATTTCTGGCACGTTTTATTTTAAATGCACCAGGCTCCAGGCCGATCTCCTGCAGATCGACCCGGAGCCTGGCCTTCGCCATTACCTCATTTATGGAGGAACCCTTCGGCAACGCTGTAACCATTACTACAGGGTTGCGCGGGGTGTTCCTCAGCTGTGGTCTTTTCTACGGGGGAGGGGGTCCCTTCCTTGGGGCCCCATTCTCCGCTACCTTACCTACTTTGGTAGGAGGAGGTGCCGCTTTCTTTGCGCCACCCCCTCCCACCGACTTGGGGGTTCAACTCTCCCCTTCCCCCTTATCCCCTTACTCTTCCCTTTGCGAGTGAACACTACAGTCCACTCGCCCTCCCTTCCCTCCCCTGCAGCAGCCGGCTGCTGCCTAGGTGGTTGGGGGAGGGCGGCCCCGCTGCCTGCAGCTGCTGCTGCCGGAGAAGGCAAAAGCCTCTCCAGCAGCCGCCCAATGCGGGTGATTTCAGACTTGAGGCACCAGACGTGCACTTCCAGGGCCCCAAGTCTTCCATCCGGTTCCCCTCCTTCACCAACCTTTTATAATCAGAGAGAGCATCCTCTATGTTGAGGATGCTCTCTCTGAAACCCTCATTAAGGGCCTCGATGGGCCTTCCATATCCCTTCGCTGCCCTTATAGAGGAATCGATCCGGAGAGTCCTTGGATAGATATGCCATCCAAGGCCTGCTCGGCAAGCTCCCTACCCCTGTTCGCCTCCAATGCGGGTCTTCGTACGGGCGGAAGACCCCATTGGTGGCGCCCTATTCGCCCTCTTGAGACTCCTCCCTCCCGCGCGTTTCGAAGAGGAGCCACCCCAGCCGAGGGCTCTTCACCCTCGACCGGGGGGAACTCCTTCCCCGGGAAGAGTTCCTCCCACTTTTGCGTGGGTGCGTGGGAGCACCAACCCTCGCTGGGAGACGCTCATCACACTCGAGGAAACCTCCTCGGGCGTGCATCCCCCAGCAAGGGCCACCGCGGCCGCCACCTCCTCGGCCCCGGTCGTCGCGTCCAGCCCAGCAATCCGCAACGCTGCGAATTTTGCCGGCCGCTGGACGCGATAACCGGGGTCTTTATCTGCTCCCAGGCCGCTCGCTTGGCCTCAACGACGGCGGCCTTGAGAGCTTCCCTAGCTCGTAGGTAGCTCTCTTTTGTCCCTCCGACATCCCCGCCTCGTCGCCGGGCCCGGTAGTACCTACGTCTGGCTTTGGTGGAGTCTCGGAGATACTCTAACTCCTCCGTCCACCAGTACGTGGCCCGGCGTCGGCGGGGGTGGGATTAGGGCGTGGGTATCGTAGCGCCGCAAGCCGCCGCCACGATACCCACAATTTCCCCAGCCCCCTCCGCGGAACTGGGGTCCCACTCACCTGGCCCCACGTCTAGGTGCCAGGTGGCCGCAAAGACGGCCGCCCATAACCTGTCCGTATCTAGCCGATTGAGAGCCCATCTTTTGGGGAGGGGAAAGTTCCCCACCCCTGGGCAGAGGGCCAGCACCTGTGTGGGTTTGGGGAGGCGGAGGGCCCACGCTATTTGTCTGTGATCAGACAGCGATTCGCCCTCCGCCTCCACCCTCCATTCCTAGAACATCCCGGTGGCCGAGGGGGTTGCCCAGGTCAAATCGATGACCGACCGCCCCCCCTGGCCGCATACAGGTGCTGGTTGAGCCTCTGTTCATTAACAGTAGGCCCAGCCCCGCTGCCCAGTCGATCACGGTCTCGCCCTGAGGGTCCCTTTGCCGGCGACTGCACACCCACCCTTCCGAGTGGGCGTTGAAGTCCCCGGCAATTACAGGTCGGGGATGGCACCTACGCACCAACTCCCCGATCCTGTCGAGGACCTTCTTAACTGGGGCGAGCTCCCCAAGACCGGCCTTATTCCTGTGGTGGGGGAGATAAACTCCCACCACAGTGATGGGCCCCCATCGACCACCACATACGAAGACCCGTTCTCCCTGAATACGCAGGGAAGGGTCCCCGCTGCAGGGTTCTCCACCATGGCCACCGAGCCGTCCGGGCTGCCGAACCAGTTTACACTGGATACCGGCACCCAGTACGGCTCGGCGACCACCCCCAGCCCGGCGCCCAACTCAGACATTCTCTGTTTACAGAGGTCCTGAGCCCGGGCGCCGTGGCCGAGGTTGGCCTGTAGGGCCCGGAGTGTCGTGAAGGCTAAGCCTTACACGCCTCCTCCGGGCTGCCTACGTCTACCCCCTCCTCCTGGGAGACTTCTGACGGCAACGCCGTCTCAGTCTCCCCGGAGGGGGTTTCGGCTATAGTGGCCTCCAGCGCAGGTGTCTCTGCGGAGATACGGGGGGTCCCTACCTGCGTGACATCCACCTCTAGGGGGTACGAGGGGGAGTCGGGGGCAGCGCTCCCACCGACTCCCCTTCCTCTACGTTTATTGGGGGTGTGCCCGAGGGGTTCACCCTCTTTACCTTCGCGGTTTGGGTGTCCTTCGATTCTTCCTTTTCCCGGTTCCCCTTCGCCGTGTCCTTGTCCTCCTCGCCTCTCCTCTTCCTCCGAGGCATTGGGCCCTTCTTTTCTTCTGGGATTCCAATTGGGGGCTCCTCCAGTTTCTATTTCCAGTCGATCAAGTCGGGGGAGGAGCCTTTCGCCTCCTCCCCATTTCCCTCTCTGGTCTTCTTCATGGGGGAGGCTAGGTCCGCCTCTGCTTCAACCACCTCAGAGTCCCTCGCCGGGGAGGAGACTGTCCTGGTCTCCTCCCTGGGCAGCATCAGTTCCAGAAGTTCCCCGACGGTGATAGCTAGGGCATCCACCCCGCCTTGGTCCTCCTTCCTCTTCTGCCTCTCTCCATCTCCTTCCCCCTCCTTCTTCCCTCCTTTCTTCCTCCCTCCGGGAGGGGGTTTGCAGGCAAGTCCTCCGATCTTATGACCGGAGGTCCTGCCTGCCTCGGCGCACACCGGGCAACGCACCGCCTCCTGGCACCCTTTGGCGCGGTGGCCGGGGTTACCGCAGCGGTAACACATACCGCTGCGGTCGACGGCGCTGGTGTACCACTCGCGCACATGCCCCCGCTCTAAACAGCGGAAGCACAACGTTGCGCGAGCGGGCAACGCCGTCACCCTGGCGCGGGTCTAGCCTACTGGAACCCGCTCCGCTGCGGCGACCTTTGCGGCCGCCGCCAGCGGACACTACACCACCATGGCGCCAACCCCCCTGTCGGTGGCCACTAAAAAGTGCCGACACTATAAAGACGCCCCGACGTTGAGACCAGGCACCTCTATTAACATGGCCCCATTCAGGACCCGGCGGACCCTCAGGGACGAGTTGATCTCAAGATCCGCCGGTCTGATTCGGCGCCTGGCCTCTATCATGAAGTCATGATATTTCCCGTCGGGGCACGTCACGGTGACGGCCACCAAGCGAGGCGGTTTCGGTTTGCCCTGCCTGGCCGCCGATGTCCCCCTCCCGGGTCCCTCCTGCTTTGGAGGAGGAGTTCCCCTTCTTCTTCTTTTCTTCCTCCACTCCTCCCTGTCTCGCCTTCCTTCCTACCACTTGGGACCACTTCGGCTCGTCCTTTGCCGTTGGCTCCCGTTGGGATCCGGTTGGCCGTCGGATTGCCTCCAGCAAGTCTTTCGCCGGTGTCCCTTTTCCGCCTTCCCGGGCCCTTCTCTCTTCCTCCTCCTTCATCCGTCTGGCCCTCTCCTTCCGTCTTTTCTTTTGCCTCTTCCTCTTCTCCTTTCTGGCCCCTCCCTTTGTCCCCTTCAGATCCACCGATGTCCGTAGGGCCTGGGTTCTTCCCTTTGGTACCTCCTGCTTCTTCTTCTCCCCTTCCGTTGTTGCCGCCTGAGCCGTAGTGGTCGCCGGTATCCCCACCGTCACAGCCGCCCGGCCCATTCCGCTTGCTGCTTTTAGGGAGTCGAGTTCCGCCCTCATGCGGCGGAGCTCCTCCTCATGGCTGCAAGCCGGGGCCGCGGCGGCCATGGCGGCGTCCAGCTCCTCTTCGGCTTTCTCTGTCCTCCACGTTGGGGGAGGAGGGGTTTCCGGGGCGTTATCATCATAAGATGGTATTTCCCCGGTTGATTCCCCTCTCTCCGCTCCTTTCCTCTCGATGAGGGAAGAAGGGGAGGAAGGAGTGATTTCCCTCTTCCTCTCCTTTTTCCTCCTCTTCACCGTCTCCCTCTTGGTCTTCTTCTCCTCTTCCTCACTGGATGCCGACGTGGACCCTGCTGCCGCCTCCGCATATATTAGCCTCCTCCCTCTAAGGAACGGAGTGGGAAGAGGGGCAGGGGCAGAGGAGGTGAAGGCTTTAATGGCTTCCAGCTCCTCACCCAGCCTCCTGTTCTCTACTCTGAGCTTCTTCAGCTCTGCTCGGAGCTCCTCCGCCTCCCTTTTGGTTTCCGAGGCTTCCTCCCCCGGCTGTCCAGCTCCACCGTTCTCGCCAGCAGGGTGGCCATAGCAGCCTCGGAGGTGGCCACTGCACGATTCAGCAGTCCCACGAAAGTCCCCTTCAAAGTGCGGGACCTTCGTGAGACCAGCCGAACCGCACCCAGCGCTCGGCCCACCTCCGAGGCCAATTCGACCACCCTGGCCTCCCTCAGGAAATTGATAGTGGCGTTGTCTCTGAACACCTCCTCGATCGGGCGCCTGTCTTCCAACGAACGAAGCATGCCCGTATCGAAGAGGATTCTGATGTCCTCTTCCAATTTCCTATTGTCCTCCTCCTTCCTCTCTATCTCCATCTCCTTTTTCTTCTTCGCTCCCACCCTCTCCCCCGTGGTGGGCAGCCATCCAGGCTCCCTCTTCTTGGGTTCGAGGGTAGGAATCTCCGTGCTGGAGGAGCTGCCACTGGTGTTAGTGGCCTCTCTGGTCCTTTTTCTTCCTCCGCCGGTGTCCTTGGCTCCGCCCGTCCCGTTGTTGGTTCCGGCGTGGTCCTCGCAGGGCCCTGGATTTGAATTTTGCTGCCCTGCGAAAGCAAAACGTCGGAGCGGATCACCGGTCCGGACGCACCCGCTACTCCGTCGGTCCCCTTCTTCGTCCCTTCCAGACCCATCCTCCGTGTCCCCTTATTTTTAAGGGGGGTTCCCTTTGCCCCTGCTTTAAGCAGAGGAGACCTGGCCTGTTGGTCCCCGGTGCCGGGGTTTTACCCTCGGACGCCAGGGACATACTCGTCCCGCGTTGGATGGCTGTCCGCGTAACTCTACCCGGCGGGCTCACCGCGCCATCCCCGCAGTCGGGGAGGTGCTGTTTGGAGGACGGTGGTCGGTCCTCGGTTATAGGCGGCCCTCCAGGAGCTAGACCCCTGGAGTCCGCTGGCTCAACCTTCCCAGGGGGAGGAGAGGATGCACCCGTCTGGCGTATTCCTGCCACCTCTACAACCCCCGTCCCTACTTTCGAAAAATCACCCTCCGGAGAGGGTGGTTGGTCCATGGACGGGCTGCTACGCTCGTCCGTTAGTGACTTAGAGCCCGAAGGCTCGGAGTTTTTGTTTTTGTAATTGGAATCCTGCATTTTGGTCTCACGAGTACGGCGGGAAGTAGGCGTCGACCCCGGGTAGAGCCCCCGCATTACCCGGGGTAAGGCTAGCATGTCCCTTGAATTCGCCAGGTGCCCAAGGTGAGGAACCACTAGCGACAGGTCACGCACCTGCCATTCATCTCATAAGCGTGGCATGCCTCAACCGTAGGATTATGTGGTATTTTATAGAGGACCCGCCTCGCGGTCCGGCCAACTGAGGCAAGACCCCCGGTCTCAGAGACATGACCTAGGGTTACGGTATGATAGGCTAAGGTCTGCCGGGGTTGCCTGAGTCCCCTGTACCAGAGTGCCCAAGCACCCTGGCCCCTCGCAATTGTGTCAGGTTATACGTTCTGACAAGTACGGGTTTGCAATCAGCGTTTTCCTTCCCCTAGAACGGTTGCCTTCACCCGGCTCACGAGCTCGTTCTGCCCGCGCTGTAAGGTCCTTTGGGCCCCACGAATGAGACCCTCCAGACCCTGCTAAAACCTGGAGGCAGCTGCCCATCCAGGAGTATTATGGACGCTCTTAGTCTGGCCCCACTGTACAGACAACTCCGGCATGGTAAATCCTGCCAGGGGCCGAAACCCCCTCCGGCACAGCTCTGTACATCGTAGGGACACGCAAGCTCCCCCACTACGACAAGATGGCGTCCACGGGGGAGAAAAAAGGAGACACTTTTTTGGTCCCTTCTCCCACCCGATGACCAGCAACCTGGCACAATCGACGGCCATCCCTTCCGAAAGGGGCTCCAATGCTCGACGGCTTTTGCCTGACGATTCAGGTCGCCCGCCACCTGCGGGTTCCCCGTTGCCGACTATCTCCAGCCGCCGAACACCAGGGTACTCCCTTTTGGATGGATAACCCCCGACTGTGTGCTCCAAATTTCCCGGACACCGGGTGTTGTACCATTGATCGCATGCTGAATGATGGGTGGTGGACCTCATCCATCCCGCACGCAATCCCGGCACCGTAAATGTCATGCCTTTCGGCATGCGCCAGTCGAACTGCTTCCGGTCGCGGAATCGTGTGTCCGTATACACCCTTTACAGGACCGGTCAAGGCACAGGGACGACCTGCTGCGGGAGTCTCCCAGTCCTGCAGTAGTGCATCCGAGAGGTTTTATCACCGCCATCGATATCACGCCGCCACTCCACCTGGGCCGGACAACCAGGCGCCAGACCGACAAGACCCGGAAGGGTCAGCAGTCTGACACCCGCCCAACCAGCCCGCGCGGCAAATGTCGCAGCACCGTCTCTAACGGTGGAATACCTCCACGTACGCCCGTAACAGCCGACCAGCACCTTTTCCGTGAGGGTGAGACTGGGACACCGATGAGTGCATCCCCCAAGTTTCCTCAAGGAATGCCCACCCGGCACCCAGAAAAACCCTCCTTCAGAGGCGACCTAAGCTAGTTCATTCGACATTTATCCTCTCCGGCACTGTGACGAAAGTGGCCCCGTCCACCACCGCCACAGCCCCAACCCATCGAGGATCAGCGTCGTCCCCAGCTCTCTCCGGACCCCACCCCCCACACACACATTCATTCTAGATGGCTAGCCATCCTACACCCAGGAGGAGCCCGTCCCATCCCCCGAGAGCACCCCCGCTCCCGCCGCCGAGCGAGCCCCCCAGGCGCCACGGAACTTCGCCCTAACGGATCAGTGAGTGCAAGCCCACCGTTGCCGACTATCCTCCGGTCCCCGACACCCAAAAGGCCCCTCCCGACGACAGAACCAGGACCCACGCGGTCCCCAAGAGGACCCAAGGGTCCGCCACGCGCTCCACTGGATGTTACCATTCGGTTGCGCTCATGTAGAGGAATTAGACCACATGAACTCTGCCTTATGGACTTCATACGCTCGGCTGTCTCACTAGACTAACGAGGCCGCCTCCCCGGGTTTGTTCTTTGAGGTTCTTCCTTCCTCCTCGGTGGACTGGGAAACCAATCTCACAAGTCCGAGCACCCGACCGGTTTGTTCACGAAGTTGCCTCTCCGATTTGGTCGCCCCGGGGCTTGGAGAGTCACAAGCACCGCCCCGGAACTATCGAGTCTAAACACCCGACCGGTTTTAATCAGAGTTTTCCTCTCCGATTTGGTTGCCATGCTGCTAACGAGCCCAAACTCCCGGGTTTTTACTTTGGGTTTTCCTTTCCCTCGTTTGGCGTCTGTTGAACAGATTAACAGGCCCAATCGCACGGGCTTATTATTCGGGGTTCTTCCTCCCCTAGTATCGGCTGCCTGGACTGCCAGACTCACGAGCCCGAACGCCCTGTTATTGTCAGATTCGCTCTCTGTTGCAGTTACCCGAATGCTGTCGAGCCCGCACGCCCGGGTTTTTACTTTAGGTTACTTTCCCCTGGTTCGGTTGGCTGACTCCACCAGCGTAATGAGCCCGATCACCCGGGTTTAGCATTGGGGTTCTTCCTTCCCTAATAATAGACTGCTTGCCCACGAAGTCAAGCTCTCGAGCTCTCGCCCGGGTTTGATATCGGAATTTCTAATCTCCGGAATAGGTTGCACTAGGCTATTGCGAGGGGCCAGGGTGCTATTGCGAGGGGCCAGGGTGCTTCGACATCCTGGTACAGGGGACTAAGGCAACCCCGGCAGACCCTAGCCTACTACACCGTAACCCTAGGTCATGTCTTTGGGGCCGGGGGTCTTGCCTTAATTGGCCGGACAGCGAGGCGAGTCCTCTATAAAAAACCACATAATCCTACGGTTGAGGCATGTCACGCTTATAGGATGAATGGCAGGTGCGTGACCTGTCGCTAGTGGTTCCTCATCTTGGGCATCTGGCGAACCCAAGGGACATGTTAGCCTTACCCCGGGTAATGCTGGGGCTCTACCCGGGGTCGACGCCCACTTCCCGCCGTACTCGTGGGACCAAAATGCAAGGATCTCAATTAAAAACAAAACTCTTCTCAGAGTCTTCGGACTCAGAGACCCAAAATGGCGGGTGTAGCAACCCGCCTAAGGGCTCACCACCTGCTTCGGTAGGTGATTTTTGATGGAAGAAGTAGGAGGAGTAAGGATGGGCAGTGATCTTCCGGCGGGTGCCATCTCCCCTCCCCCCGGGGAGAGAGAGCTTATGGACCTCGGAAGAGTAGTCTCCGAGGGGCCATCTACGGAGGGAAGTCCATCCCCCTCAACGGCGGCAGAAGATAGCAGCCGGGATTAACGCCCTCACCGGAGAGTTGGTAAGGTTAGCTCTCCGCGTGGGATGACGAGAGCGGCCACCCTACGAGGGACAGACATGTCCCTGGGGCCCCTGGTACTGGCGTCCCAGTGGGCCAGGGGACGCCAGTACCAGGGGCCACCAAGTCCGGCCCCCTCTGCGAAAAGAAGAGGCAGAGGGAGTCTGCCCCCAAAAAGACCGAGGGGGCACTAGGGGACAACGATGGGGAGATCGGTAAAGGGGAGATGTCAGGGGCGAGGGTCGTTGGCCCGGTAGTCGTCACTGATATCCTCCTCTCCCAAGGGTCTAGGTACCGGATCCGCAAAACGGAGGAGGGGACCCTGCTGCGACCACCAGCGGCCACGGGGAAAAAGAGGGGGAGGTCGTCCACTAGTGGATCCTCTACAGCGGTGGAGATAGTGGAGGGACCGGTCCCAGTTTTGGTACCCGAGAAGAAGAAGAGGGGAAGACCAGTCACTATGGGCCTAGGGGTTGGAATTAAGGACAGAAAAGAAAGGGAGGTAAAGGAGAGGAAGGAGGAGCGCCTCAAAAAACTGGAGAGAGAGGCATGGAACCTCCTCGAAAGGGGAATTTGCCACACCTTGGCGGATAAACGCCCCGCTGAGGAGGTGTTTAAAGACAGATCCTCAGTGGGGCTCCTCAGAGGGGCGGGGTCGGCAGAGCTTGCGGACGAAGTGGGATGTGCCCTGGGTGCGGTCCGGCTGGTGGCTAAGCGCTCGAACACACTCAAGGGCACATTCACCAGCCCGTTTAAATAGGGCCACGGTCACCACGCATGCGGCTATGTCGAACTTGATCGCCAGGGTGGCGGCACAGGAAGGCGAAGGAGCAGCGAGACCGGAGGTGACCAAGGAATTGGAGGACCTGAGAGGGAGCATAAGGGCACTGAGAGCGGAGAACATGAAGCTGCAACAGGAGCTTCAGGAGAGCAAGGCCCGGGAGGCTCATACTCAGCCCCCCCACCGGAGCCAGCAAGGAGGACCTACGCTGAAGTGGTGAGCGGCGGAACTTCCACATCGGCGGAGGAGGAGGGGAAGGAGGAGAAAAGAAGGAAGAAAAAGAGGAAGAGGAGGAGGGTGGCGAGAATTGCCTCCTCCTCCTCTTCCTCCTTCAGGGGAGGCTCTTCCGGGGGCGTGTCTTGTATACGATGACAGGCTCCCGGAGGAGACTCCCTCTCCAGTGTGGAGACCAGAACAGGGCAGGGTGCGGGGGGAACTGGATGCCTTGATGGCTAACACAGCCCGGGCATCCCCGGGCGGGGTGAGGAGGCTAACAGATTAGAAACCTCACCTCGTCTGGGGACGGGACGGGAGCCGGGTCGCAGGGGGGACGGGAATCCCTGCAGCAGCAACAGCCCAGGCCCATATAGGGAGGAAAGAGGAAAAGGAGGAGAACCGCAGTAGGAAGGGGAGCCAGGCCCAGGTGCACCGAGCCACCGGTGAACTGGACCTCCACGACCGCCAATACGGGTTCAGGCCCGGGCGATCCACACTGGATGCGATCCAGTGGGTCCGGGACCTGACCCGGGCGGTTGTGGAGATAAGGGGCGGGTTGTTGCTGGCTGTATCGCTAGACATATCAAATGCCTTCAACACCCTGCCCTGGCCGGAGATAGGACGGGCCCTCGAGCACTTCGAGGTGCCCGCCTATCTCCGGCGGATAATGTCCGCCTACTTCGGGGACAGAGACCTCGCCTTCACCAAGGAAGGCGGGGTTCAAGGCTGGCGCACTATGGAGCGCGGTGTCCCGCAGGGGTCGGTGCTCGGCCCCCTGCTATGGGACATCGGCTTCGAC